AAAAAAAAAAATCTCTGTGCTCTAAATTCTGATTTCAACAGTCAGGGAAATGAAAAATAGCCGACAGTTCTAAATCGGAGGCAGCATTCTTTTTCAGATGAATGTAATAATCAGAGTGAGGATGGAAGTGTATTTCTCCCACTGTTTTCTGGCTTCCTAGGAGCCTTTCTTACCAATAGTCTGCGCAAAACAAATGGGATTGGGAAACATCATTTTTTCTAATTCCAAGAATTGCTTGGAAATTAGCTTTCTACAGAAATGACTGTTCTCCTCTTCACATGCAGCCCTGCAAATCTTTCTTCCATCAACATTACTTAAGAACATAAGACCAGACATACTGGGTGTCACGGGGCACACACCCCCCAGTAGCCTCAGTGCCCCCTGACTGTCTTCACATGGCCCATCTCAGGGCGAGTTACAGTCTGTATGGGTTGCTCATCATCAGCTTCACAGCAGTTTATACTGGTGCTTTAAACAGGCCAAGTCCACAAACAGATTCTCATCGTAGCTGGGTACCCCCCCCAGTAGGGGGACCCGGGCCCACCCTACTCAACCGGGTCCCAGCCCAGGGCCCTGTGAGCAACCGGGTATAGGGTCACTCCCTCGGTGGGGCTAGCTAGCCGAAACCCACCGAGGCTCTCAGGCCAAGAGGGGCGCCTCCCGCTCCTGCCCTGGGCCACTTCCTACCTGGCCTTGCCCAGCTGGCTGCGATCTCCAGGCCGGCATCCCCTCGGCAGGGAGTCTCCAGGGGCCACCAACTCACCTCCCCCTTCCTCCAGGCCTCTCCTGGGGTCCCCGGCAACTGCTGAGGGAGAGCTTCCCTCTCCAGTCTGTCTCCTGCAGCTGTATCCCTCCCAGGAGCTCTTGCTGCCTCTGCAGTCAGCCCGGCACTCCCCCTTCCAGGGACTGGGCCTCTCCTTTTATAGCTGGCAGCTGGGCTCATTAGCCTAACCATCTCAGCTGGTCTTCCAGCTTCCCTCAGGCTCGGGGCCTGAGCCTTGGGCTTAAAGGCCCAGTGCAGGGCAGGCGCCCTGTCACACTGGGTCAGCCCAAAGGTCCATCCAGCCTAGTGTCCTATCTCTGACAGTGGCCAATGCCAGATGTCCCAGGGGAAATGAACAGAACGGAATCATTAAGGGATCCATCCCGTCACCCATGGGCCAGCATCCCTGCCCATCCTGTCTCATAGCCATTGATGGACTTATCCTCCATGAATTTATCTAGATCTCTTTTGAACTTGTAGTTCTACCTCTGTTATACCCATCAGGAAGACATCCTGGCTCCAAACATGGCTTAATTTTCAGGTTTTATGGACCCAACTGGAACTCTTCCCAGGCCTTACCTTGAGACTACTGGGTTCAGACAGAATTAAATACACATCCTGGTTTTGGTTCTTCAAACAAAAGGAAATAAAATACTAAAATAAAATAAAGTCCCACCCTGGAAGCCACCAGGCCGCCAACAAACAAGATGAGGGATGACCTGAAGAGATAAGGGATGCCCTGAAGGCAGCATGGAGGTGTTCCTGCATGGCTCAAGGGATAGGGCATTCACTGGTTGAGCTGAGGGTGATGCATTCTAGCCCCACCCTGGGAGACACCACAACACCCCTCCCCATATATCCAGTGCTATAAAGTTTTGCAAAGGCAAACCAGTTTGTGTTTGGTTTCATTTTGCCATCATTTCATTTTGCTATCGATTCTGCATTCACTTTACTATCATAAAGCCAGTCCTGGATGGTCTGAATGTAATGACTGATTATTAAATATGTATTTATTCAGCATTAAAACCTACAGAGCAGGCCAGATTCTACTCTTAATTACACTGCTGAATTCATTATCAGACATTATCCCAGATACAAAGAATCATCCACTTTTCCATTGTGGGCTTCTAAAGGGGATTGTACTACGCTGCTCAGACAGTGAGTTCTGTTAGCCTGCGGACAGTCTCGCGAAGGGAATAGCACAGGCCTCATTTCCTTGGGCCATTTCACACTAGGCTGGGGCAAATGCTAGACAGTGTAGCACAAGAAACAATCCTGCACTGGACTAGACAGGACCTAACTGGTCTTTTAGATGTGGAGAGTCTCTAAGGGTATGTCTCCAAAGCAGGGCTAAAGCCGAAATAAGCAACACAACTTGAGCTACCAAAAAAGCTTATTTCGGATGTTGGCACTGTCTACACAGCAGGAAGTCGGAGGAAGAGCACACTTCCTTCCACTTCCCTTATTCCTCGTGAAATGAGGGTTACGGGAGTTGGAATAGGAAGCCTTCCAGCTCAACATTATATTGAAATAAATGCTGCTGTGCAGACATAGCCTACGTGTTCAATTCAACCCTGCCATAAACCCTCTAATGTCAACAAGGTTACAGAAAGGATTTTTTTTCAGTGCCTATTTGTGATGCCCAGGAGGAGCTGGAAGGCCCTTGCTATGCCCTCAGGGTATGACTGCATTGTGTGATTGCAGCCAATGTTCCCTCTAATTTTTTTTTCCTATCTGTGTGTGGAATAAATTTTATTGCATGCACTGAGGCACGTGCGGATGTGCACCACCAGCAGGAACTAATCAGACTCTCTCCTGGGTGGCTGCCCAAGTGAAAAGCTTGCAGGGAACACTAAATGGAGACATACCCATGCTAATCTAGCGAGTGAAGCTAAAAATGACAGGGAATGCAGTGATGCAGTCTTCAGTGGGGGCTGCACACACCTCCCCATACCCTGAATATGTACTTGTGATCCTAGCCCGCATCTGGGTCTGTTCACTGCATCTTCATTGTCATGTTCAGCTGTGCTAGCTCAATTAAAGCTACCTGGATTTTGATCATACCTCTTATTTCAATGTAGATATCCCCACAGTGTGCAGGTGCTAGAACAATTTGTATAGGGGCGGGGGGCCTGAAAGCCACTGAACCAAACTGTAAACCCTGGATATAATGGGGATCACTTCATGTTAGGGGATGCAGCTGCCTCCCCAGCATCTCTAGTTCCAGCAGCTGTCCCACAGTGTGGTGACCAGTCCATACAAGACCATAGATAGCAGGAGGTGGGGTTAGGACAGGGATAGGCAAATATCAGCCTGTGTGCCGGATCTGGTTCCACGGGGATAGGCTCAGCAGGCTGCCGTCATTATATTTACCTGTGCCTCCACAGGTAGGGGCGATTGCAGCTCCCAATGGCCACTACCAGTCAATGGGAGCTGTAGGAAGTGATGTCGCAGTCCACGCCACTTCCCGCACCTCCCATTGGCCAGAAACTGCAATCAATGGGAGCTGCAATCGCGGTTAATAGAGCAGCAGTGGCCCACCAGGGACCAACCCTGGGGAACCTCCGCCATTTTATTGCCCACCCCTGGCTTAGGACGATAGAGCCTGGGAGAGCTTAGGAAGTGGAAGAGTAATACCTGCTTGAAGTTAATGCAGAGGGAGTGAAAAAGCCAGTAGATAGATTCAAGCAGGGGATGCTGCTACCTGTCTCAATGCTATCTAGCAAGCCTGACAATTAAAACTGATTTTAGAGCTTTCAGTAGCCAGTGAACATCAGACTGGATCTGACTCCAATCAGCTTCACTGAGTCCAAAGCCGGAGGGAAAAGAAGTCAGGGTGGCATGCAAGCAATGAGTATATGAGAATGCTATGGAAAGAGAAAAATGCCAAAGAATCTATGGAGTCCACCAGGGACTTCGCTATTTCTAATCAATTTTATGTAGGTGTTCAGACACTATACTGATGGGCTGCAGTATAAAATCAGACTAGATAGATAGATAGATAGATAGAAGAGCTATATAACCCCAAACCAGTAACAACATGAGAGCTGTGCCATCTTCATGCACCAATTTAGCTTAGCAAAGATGCTAACTACCTTACCCATTACAAAGATAGCTTCCCCAGTTATCACCCCTAATATCATTATCTCATAGACATTAACATCCCCCCTCAGTTATAAAATTGACAAATCAGATTTTAGCTGTGTTCACTTTTTTTTTTTTTGATTGTATCCCTTTGGTATGTATGGTCATGCCAATTTTCTTCCACAATTTGATCTGAGGAAGTGGGTCTGGCCCACGAAAGCTCATCACCTAATAAACCATCTTGTTAGTTTTTAAAGTGCTGCATAGTCCTGTCTTTTGTTTCAATTTAGCTTTGGCATTGTCCTCACTTGTGGGTTTTTTTAATTGTTTTGATGTCCTTAATTTGCATATTCCCCACAATGCTACTTGGCAGGATTTTTGCTCTGAGCTAATGAAGAGATGGCAAAAATAAACATGTCATGTAAGATTTGCTTATATTTTTCCTGTAAGTGAACTGCCACCAAGAAATGATTTGCTAGGAGGGTCAAGCTTGTGGAAATAGTCATCCGCCTGGCCTGCCAGATACAGGAGGTGTTTGCTTTGCCCATGATGCACAAGATTGCCAGAGCCAGAAATGATAGACTGACTGATGTTGGAAGACAGCATGAGTTGGAAACAATGCCTTTAATATAGCAGAGCTAGCCTGTGAATGTTTCCCTGACATTGGGAAGCAGCAATGCATAAGAGTAACACCATTGGCTTTACACAGGTGAAGAACGGGTCACACAAGTAAGGAAGGGGTCACAGTTTGGCCCAATGCAGTTTGCAAATTGACAACCAATTAGAGACTAATTGATCACTCAGGCTTACAGTCTGATCCCACTCACACATGTTGTGTCACAACACACTCCCACTGAAATAAACGAGGCCACTCCCAGAGTCAGAATGACGGGATCTTGCTTTCATTTAAAAACGTAACTCACAAAGGATCCCATCCCATGTTCCTTATTCAGCTGTGACCAAGTGCCCTTCAACAGGCAAACTCTCACCAAACTCAATAGCCTACCTGAAAAAGACCCTCTAAAACTGGCT